AGTTTATTTGTTTTCATTTTCGTTTTTTAAATCGGCTTTGTTTAAAGACATCAACGCATCCGTCATTATCTCGTAAATCAGAGTTCTGCCAGTCAGCCATCCAGCCATCCATTGTAGATTCATTGAAGAGGACATAAGACGGCTGGTATGTGTGTGTGTGGCTGTGTGAGTAAATGTTCTCCCCAATCTAGCCAAGTGCAAGTGGGGTCCATGCAACAAAACAATGCCACTCAACACCCCAAAACACGATACTCACGCTCAGCAGCAGCAACAGCAACACCACGAAGGGAGTACATCATCACATTACCGACTGACTGACTGAATGTGTTTTTATGGCGGTCAGTGTGTTAGACAAATCCACATTTTTTGCTGTCTGAAAATATTTAGCTTTATGATGGTGATGCCCACTCTCCCAAATACGCTCTTTGCTATTTCTACTAAAAAGAGACATTGAAAGAGAGAGAGACATTTCCACAAATCAAAAAAAAAGAGAGGAAGATTCCATTTAAAAATTCTCATTTAATGTTATTCCCTCAAAGGTCTCTCCCTCTCTTGCTGAGAGGTAATTTTGACCACGCATGTCCCTTGTCTGGTATAAAGTGGAGACTGGATGCAAAGGAATTTGGCAAAGATGAAACTAGATGACATTTACTGTCAAACTTATTTGGCAAATGTCAAAAAGAAAAGGGGGTTGAAAACAGATGTGGCATCACTGATTTTTTCTACCAGAATTGCCAACCTATTTTTTGGAAGATTTAATAGAGTTCAGTTGGTAATGAAAGGTCTCGAAAGGTGAATATCTTCGATAATTCAACCATTGCAGCCATAAATAGTGAAAATATTGAAGACATGAACCTCAAAATACATATTTGAAGAGGAAGCATCATCTCTAGCAGAAACAGGGTGACATCATATAAAACTGGGTGCTAAAAAATTGGGTTTATATTTAGTTATTTTTATAGCGTGTTGTTGTTTTTAAAATTATATAGTATACTTTTAGGCGCACGATTCGTTATTCAGAAAGATACTTCTCATACTTCAGAATAAAGACATATATATTGATACAGGAAAAATATAAATTTTCGTATATATTATATAAAACATGTTAATATAACACTATAGTAATTTATATATCTTTCTAGTTTATGTTAGCGCTTAAAAGTATGCTTTAAAAATTCGAAATATGAAAAATATAGAGGTTTATTTGTTAAGGAATATTAAGGGAGTGCTGAAGCAAATGTATGATACAATTTTTAAAAAGTTGAAAGGTCAAGTGATAGTTATAAACCTGCTGGAGGCTCACGGTATCTACAGGAAAGAGCTTAACTCACGGGGAACCCTCCTGAAGGACCTAAGGACTAAGTGACGCCCCGAAAAATATAAAGATATGAAAACTCAAAGCCAACTGTTATACCAACTGAAAGATCGGTAGGTTTAAGGAAATTCTTGTGGGTGAGCTGAAGGTTATGAGAGTCTTTGTGGTTGAACCGAAGGCTCAACAAATTTGGACAACGAAGAACTGAGAGCTCAGGGAGTCATTATTGTTAAACTAAAGGAAACTCTTAAGAAAAATCTGATAAACTTGTCATCATTGTTGACAAACTGAGTGCTCAAAGAGTTATTGGAGACGAGTTGAAGCTTTGTGGAGTTTCCGATATAGACGAACTGATGGCTCAGGCAGTTTTCTCAATGGAAGGGCTGAAGGCTCTGGGAGTATCAGTGAATCCCCGCAGTGGACGAGCTGAGCGCTTAGAGATAGGAACTCTTTTAAAGAGGAGCTGAGTGTTTAAAGAGTCTCCGCTATCGCGTGCCAAGTGCTCAGAGAGAGTCTCCTCCACACACGACCTAAAGGCTCTGAGAGAGTCTCTTTTACAGATGAGTTGAGGGCTCAACGAATCCCTTCGATGGTCGATGGCACAGGGAGTCCCTCTATGTGCGAACTGAGCGCACAATGTCTTTTTTATATGCAAGCTCGGAGAGTTTTTTCCATAGACGAGAGAGTCGCTTCTATAGATGAGTTGATGGCACAGAGATTCTCCGCCATAAGCGAGCTGAGTACTCAGAGGAAGTCTCTACTATAGACGGGAGTTTTCGCTGAGTGCTCAGAGAGAGAGTCTTTCCAATAGACGAGTTGATGGCACAAGGTGTCTCCGCTGCTGGCGTGCTGAGAGCTCAGAAAGAGTCTCCTCCATAGTCGAATAGATGGCTGTGTGATAATGCCTTCTATCGATGAGTTGATGGCTTAACGAGTCTCTTCTATAGACGAGTAGATGATATACCGGGTCCTCCCTACAGAGGAGTTGATGGTGCAGAGAGTTCCCGCTATAGGCGAGCTGCACGCTCAGAGAGAGAGAGAGAGAGAAAGAGAGTCTCTTCAATATGCAGGCCCTTATATAGAAGAGTTTTCTATATGCAAGCTCAGAGAGTCTTTTCCAAAGACGAGCCAATGGCTCAGAGAGAGAGAGAGAGAGAGTCGCTTCTACAGATGAGTTCATGGCTTAAGGAGCCTATTCTATGGACGAATTGATGACACAGAGGGTCTCCGCTTTGGCATGCTAAGCGCTCGCTAAGAGTCCCCCAAGTCTTTTTCTATAGACGAGTTGATGGTATAGCGAATCTTCTGAACATACGAGTTGAAAACACGGGGAGTCTTCACTAAGAGTCTCCGCTATAGGCATGCTGTGCGCTGGGATAGAGTATCTTCTATACACGAGCCGAACGCTCAGAGAAAGTCTCAGCTATAAACAGGCTGATCGCTCAGAGATATTCCCTTCAAGAGAAGAGTTGATGGTTTAAAAAATCTCTATGGGTGAGGTGATGACGCAATTAATCTTTGTAATCGAGTAGGAGCCTCCTACTCCCTCTTTATTAGTAAGGAAGGTTGTTCATTTAGTCTATTTCTTATCTATTTTTTTATTGAAATCAAAAACAAAACTTATATGTAACAAATTTGTTTTTTGATAAATTAGGAATGTTTCCAAATTTGGGCTAAATCACTCACAAAGGTCTGTTGTAGAGATTTGTACCCAATGAAGATAATATTCTTCACAAAATTTCACTATAGGTCGGTGAACACAACATAACGGTATATACAACAGATCTCAAAAATACATCCACCTCAAATAAATTATATGTATCAAATTTGTTAAGAAACTGGTTTTTGATAATTTTGGGGCGTATTACAAATTTGGTCCGAAACACCCAAAACAATTCATCCTAGAGTTTTGAGGCCAATGAAGAAAATGTTCTACACAAAATTTCACTATAAGTCGGTGACCAGATCATAACGGTATATACATCAGATCTCAAAAATATATGCACCTCAAATAATTTACATGTAACAAATTTGTTTTATGACAATTTAGGGACGTTTTGCAAATTTTGTCGAAATCTCCCACTAAGATCCATTCTAGAGATTTGTGCCCAATGAAGATAATATTCTCCACAAAATTTCACTATGGGTCGGTGAACACAACATAACCGTATATACAACAGATATCAAAAATATATGCACCTCAAATGACTTATATGTATCAAATTTTTTAAGGTTTTTGATCATTTTAGGACATCTTAAAAATTTGGTTCAAACACCCAAAACTATTCACCGTAGAGTTTTGAGGCCAATGAAGAAAATGTTCAACACAAAATTTTACTATAAGTCGGTGACCAGATCATAACGGTATGTACAGCAGATCTCAAAAATATATGCACCTCAAAGAATTTATATGTTTCAAATTTGTTTTTTGATAATTTGGGGATATTTTCCAAATTTGGGCAAAATCTCCCACAAAGATCCATTGCGGAGATTTGTGCCCAATGAAGATAATGTTCTCCACAAAATTTCACTATGGGTTGGTGAACACAACATAACCGTATATACAACAGATCTCAAAAATATATGTACCTCAACTTATTTAAATGTTTCAAATTTTGTTAAGAAACTGGTTTTTTGATCATTTTAGAACGTTTTACAAATTTGGTCAAAAACACCCAAAACAATTCACCGTAGAGTTTTGAGGCCAATGAAGGAAATGTTGTACACAAAATTTTACTATAAGTCGGTGACCAGATGATAACGGTATGTATAACAGATCTCAAAAATATATGCACCTCAAATAATTTACATGTAACAAATTTGTTTTTTGATAAATAAGGAATGTTTTCCAAATTTGGTCGACATCTCCCACAAACATCCTTTGTAGAGATTTGTGCCCAATTAAGAAAATGTTCTACACAACATTTCACCATAGGCTGCTGACCACAAAATATCGGTATATACAACAGATCTCAGAAATTTATTCACCTCAAATATGGCTTATAATGATTTATCAAATTTTTTCCCGTAGTTTAAACTTTTATGGAATTTGTATCATTTTTTCTGATTTTTTTCATGCAAATCTCCGCTAGAACTTCAATTTGATTCTTTAATGGTAAATGCAAACACTTTTCTACACAAAATTATGCTTGAAGTCCCTAAATTAAACTTATATATAGTAATTATGTATAATTTATAAGTATGAACTTTTTTTTTGATGACTTTTGGACGTTTTTTAAAATTGGTCCAAATCTGCCAAAAAAATTGACTATAGACATTTGGAGCCAAAGAAAAAAATATTCTACACAAAATTTTATCATAGGCTGTTGACCACAAAATAACGGTATATATAACATATCCCAAAAATATATTAACCTCAAATGTGTCATTTAAACGACATATCTCATACTTGTCTACTTCGGTTAAAAACTGTTATCGAATTGGTATCAAATTCTCCCACAATAATTTGTTGTAGAAGAAAGTTATTAAAGAGAAAAATATTCCCCATCAAATTTCACTATAGGTCTCCAAACAATAGAAAACGGTATAAGTTAAATAAGGCCCTGAAATATTCATTTCAATATTTGACTTTTGTGAAAAAGAATCTATAGAACGTCCATTAATTCCAATATCTTTACTCACCATTTATTTATTTTCCATATAAAAAAAATTATTTCTGTTTTTTTTGTTTTCTATGTAATAATTGTTTCTCAGTTTTATTTCTATGTATGAACTTCTAAAAACTATACAATATTTTATTTTGTATTTTCTGTTTGTTGATTTTTTTATTTTATTTTTTCATTCAGTTTTATTTTCGGGGTTTATTTGTTAATTTTGTTTATAATTAATCATTTTTTCAATATGTATATCATGTTTTTGTTGTTGTTGTTGTTATTATTGTTATCATAATAATATGTTTAATTGTTGTTGTTTGACGTTACATTATTTTTTTATTTTTTGTTTTAAATCTAGAAATATGGAAATGTATGTTTTTATGGTTAGATAGGTGATTCGTGTATACTAGACCCTCTATGATGTTGTTGTTACTTTTTTTTTTTGAAATCTTAGTATTTTTTATACCTTTTTTGTTTGCAAATCTAGTAAAGAATATTATGGAATAAAGAGAAAAATATTGAATGAAAAATATTTTTAACAACCAAAAGTTAGTTTGTTGTATTTTTATAGAACCTCTAGTTATTGCACTTCAAAAGAAAGTCCGATTTGATTTTCGTATTTTTTTTTTTGGCTAAACGAAAAAAGTCTAACGGAATTGTTATTGTTTGGCACACGATCTGACTAAAATTAAAAAAGAAAAACTCTTAAACTAAATTGTAATCACAACAAAATTGCTAAAATTAGAAAAAAAAATATTTAAAAAAAATATTGCACATAACTCATATATATTTTCGAAATTTCGCATCCTTTAAACTTAAACCAAAAGCTTAAAATTAATAAAATATGTGGTGCTGGACCTACATACTGACGTCGTACATAGCTTACAATTAATTATGATCGATTCATTAATGCGAACGTATAGATAGATAGTTTTGCTCTTTGAGAGTCTTTTTTTGTTTGTTTTTGTTAATTTTTATGCTCTTTTTTCTCTATTTTTTTTTCTTCTGCTGCAATTAGTTGTTTTTTTTTTATTTTTTTCTGTTAAGCTGTTTACATAAAATTAATCAACAAAGTTATCAGTTTTCTTAAGATTTGTTAAATATGTTAGCTTCTTCAGTTTTATGTCTCAGTTATAGCTACCAAACTACGCCAAGAGATCTAGGTTAAGAGATGGGTGGATTTCAATGACAAAGAGAGGAATAAATGGTATAATGGAGAGAGAGACAGATAATAATATAAATCAGCCTTGGTCAATATACATGCATTAGTGGTAATAAAGAGTCTCTCTTGACATCCTCTGAAATCAATGGCAAATAAAAATCGAGAGAGAGAGAGAGAGAATACGTGTTTTCTGTGTACTTTTTAGTTCGAGGCTGCTATAAATGGCCACAATTCTCAGAATAAACAAAGACGTGTGCCAGAGAAAAAAATAAAAAATATTGTATCATTTTCTTAATTCCCATTTTTTTTTGACAAGTTCAGTAATGAATTAAATTATGCCATTTATTTCAAAAATGCCATAATGAAAAACTTTCAGATATAAGCCGCCAAAATTATAGAAGACAAAATAACAGTAAATTTAAGAATGAAGAAGAAAATATTAACTCAATCCTGACTCACAAGTATAATGGTTAGAAATTCGACCATTATGATGAAAAAGATCGAAACTAAAGATAATATAGGCAAACTCAATATTGTAGCTATTTCCAAATTTTTGGTAGAGGGGTTAGCTCTTTTTCAAAAAAAGGTCCAAAAATAGACCAAACCGACCAAAATTTTAAAAATTCTTCCAAAATATTCCAATTGTATAAAAATCCGGGATTACGAACAGCAAATTTTCGAAGAGTTTTTCATGACATTTTGTTACGAGAACAAGAATGAAGAAGAAGAAAATATTGACTCAATCCAGACTCGTAAGAATAGTTGTTAGAAATTCGACCATTATGATGAAAAAGTTCGAACTAAAGATAGCATAGCCAAATTCAATTTTGCGGCTATTTCCAAATTTTGTGTAGCTCTTCTTCAAGAAAAAGGTCCAAAAACAGACTAATCTGAACAAAAATTGAATAATACAATGTTAAGCAAAGTTTTTGTTGATATTTTTATTTTTATTTTTTTTTTGGTAGAAGTTGAGGGGTTAGCTCTTTTTCAAAAAAAAGTCCAATAACAGACCAATCCGACCAAATTTAAAAAAATTCTTCCAAAATATTCCAATTAAATAGCACGATATCAAGAAAAGTTTTTTTTTTAATTTTTTTTTTTTTTTTTGGTATAAAATGTCCAAAATTAATTCGACCAAATTACCAATTTTCCTGTTTTTACAAATTTTCTATATTTGTCTAAATATAAATAGTGTCGAAAATCCGGAATTGGGAACAGAAAATTTTCGAACAATTTGTGGTGATTTTTGGTACCAAATCCCCAAAAAAAGATCCCTTACTTCTGAATTGTCTCTGTATTGAAAGATATTGTTCGAAAAATCTCCCAGCAATAATGGATTTTTTCAAATTTCTAGCACTTTAAGAGATTTATACAATATTTCATTGCAAAAACTTTTTCGATCAAATTGACCAAAAATGTATCATCGATTTTTGGTCGGAACACCCCAAATTTTGTCTAAAATTTGTGTTTATATGAATTTTAGCTTCATAATGTGCTACAAAAAAGGCTTTTGCAAAGTTTTCAGAAATTTCTGAAATTTTGCAAATAAGAAAAATCCGACCAAATTTTGTTTTTTTTTTTAAATTGGCCAATTTTTTTTTCTTTAACGAGTTTATTGGTTTATAATTTAATTTTGTTAAGTATTTCCCTCAAGTCTAACGGAATTGTTCTTTGTGCAAAGAAAAAAAAAAGAAAATGCTAAAAATGGACTATTTTTAGTAGAAAATGCCCAAAATGAGACTAATTTCAACAAAAATTTATGTTTATGTAACGGTTTAGCTTCCAAAGTGCTACAAAATTAAATGGCTTTTGCAAATTTCAATATTTTGGAAATTCTAAGTAGTTCCAAAATGAAATGAAAAAATCGACCAAATTTTAATTTTCGAAAATTTTTCCAGAATATTCTTAGAAAAATTATTTGATACATATTGGAGAATTACAGAGCTACAGAATGTCATTTCGTTTGAAATTTGTTATCATTTTTTGCACAAATTTGCACAAAACAACCATTTTTGGCAGAATATGTCTAAATATTCGAAAAAATCGATCAAAAATTCCATCCGTTTAAAAAACGTTGGTTTTAAATTTTCTTTGCACAGATATAAGATTAAAAAAGTAAATTTTAATTAAATTTTTTCGAAATTTAAAAAAAAAAATTTCACCAAAAATTTTCAGTTAAAAATATTAGCAATTTTTTTTGGTCGATTTTTTTTTTTTTGTTAATGTGTGTGAGACATAGTGAATTTAAAAACTTTATTCAGTAAAAAAAGTATTCATCACTTCAGATAGAAATGGCCCATAAAAGTAAAAAAAAATGCGAAAGAAATTGTGGTTTTTGGTAGGAAATGCCCAAAAATGCAACTATTTTCGACCAATATTTCTATTTTCCAATATTTCAATTTGGCTTCGAAAACCCCTACAACGATAAATAGGTTTGGCATATTTCTATGTTTTAAAATATTGAAAAATATCCGAAGTGCGAAAAATATCCGACAAAATTTTAATTTAAAAAAAAAAAAATATATATTCAAAATATTTGGGTCAAAACTCGTTGGTATGGAACGGATGCCTGATGGAGCATACAAATTTTATTTTGTTCTAATTTTTTTTTATTGTTTGCACAAAGGTGGAAAGCTAACAATTTTGGTAGGAAATTACCAAAATGGAAAAAATTTCCGACCAAATTTTATTTTTCGAAAAAAAAAATATTCAAAATATTGGGGTCAAAAACTCCTTGGTCTGGATCCTGATCTGAGGGGGCATACAAATTTTATTTTGTATTAAATTTGCATTATTGTTTGCCCAAATTTTAAAAAGTACCACTTTTGGTAGCAAATGACCAAAATGAATTAAATTTCCGACCAAATTTTAATTTTCGGAAAAAAAATTGACAAAATATTTGGGTCAAAAACTCGTTGGCAAAGACCGGAACTTTACGGAGCATACAAATTTTATTTTGTATTAAATTTGCATTATTCTTTGCCCAAAGTTTAAAAAGTACCACTGTCGGTAGCAAATGACGAAAAAGAAATAAATTTTTAATTTTCAGAAAAAATTGACAAAATATTTGGATCAAAAACTCGTTGGCAAAGACCGGGACTTTACGGAGCCTCAAATTTTTTTTTTTGTATTAAATTTGCATTATTATTTGCCCAAAGTTAAAAAAGGACCACTTTCGGTAGCAACCGACCAAAATGAAATAAATTTCTACCAAATACTCTGCTGAGATAGAATTTTATAGCCATCGAAAATATTGTAAAGCAATTTCTATTTTGTCAAAAATACAAAAACCTCGCCTCTGAAAATCTGCTGATCTCCTCTCTTTATATACACCAAATTTCTCTTTCTCTTCCATGAGAGACCCCCAATCTCCAAGGATTTTTGTAAAAATTAATTTCACATCTAACGTTGAGAGCTGCACTATTTAATTTCGTTAATTATTCATCAGTGTAGTAGTAATAGTAGTTATTGTTAGTTAGTTGTTGTTCTTGTTGCTGAGTTTGTTTGTGTGGTGGTGTGTGTGTAAGTGAATAGGCGATAGAGTGAGAGAGTTCCGGCGATTACTATTCAATTTAAAAATTATAAAATACTATCTCTTGTTTATCTTTCTTTCTTTCTTTCGTATATTGTCTGTGTGGATTACAACTAAAAAAAAATGTTGTTGCTGTTGTTGCTATCAAATTTGACATCCTTAAGTGTTTCTAACATTAAGTATGGGGGGAGGGGGGTGCTTTAGAGTATATATATATGTATATGTATGTATCTTGTTGTTGTTATTTCTTTGATATTATCATCATCGTCATCATCATCATCATCATTGGGGCCTCTAAAAGAGTCCTCTCTGTGTTGGGTTTCATTCTTTCATATTTTTTCTTGGAAGATTTTCGTTTGCAACTTTGGGGATTATGTTATTGTTTTTTAAAAAATGGCTGACATTTTGTTGTTTTTTGTTGTTGTTGTTATTTATGGATTTGTTTTTCGTTTGATTTCTCCTTCATTTTCATTCCTTAAAGTAGTTGGGCAATGACCGGCTCTATTAAGCACATGTGCTCAGCTCCTCGGACGGGTAGTCGATTCAAACAGAAATGCCTTATCATGTCGGGCACCGTCTCAAATGGCCGGCTGAACTGGCCCAGTATATATTGACCGCATTCGTTGCGCTGTATGCGCATGTGCATGAAGCCTTTGGCTCCCCTGAAAGTAGGCAATGGGAAATAATTAAAATATTTTTTTTTATTGGAAAAAATTAAAATTTTTTCATGGTCAACAGTTTTCAGATACATGCGAACTCTGGATAAATAAAATCAAAGTTCCCGAGGCTTTACAAAAGCAAATCCATCTGCCATCATTTTTTTATTCTTTTTAATCAAAAATTTCTCCTTAGAAACTTACTTCAATGACAGCGAATAATCCTGTTTGGTCGATTCACAATTGCGCACCAGAAAACTACCCTCCGCCAGGGGGCGCAGTGTAGTTTCAGCCTCAATTCTTGTTATGGCACCGTGATACCAGCTGCAAACGAGAAAAAAATTCCAAAACATTATAAAATGGAGCTCTTTAGGAAAATTGAGATTTTACTCACCCCTGCCTCTCCAGCGGTATCGAAACATCGATTAGATCCACAGCATTGGCAAAGCCTTGATTTAGATTCAAGTTAAGTTCTTTGTTATTGCTTAGACCACGCAAATCTAAGCTACCGAATTTATTGTTGGTCTGTCTCGGCTCGTTGAGGTTGAGGGTTAGATTTTGACGGAATATTGCCGAATCTGAAATGAAACGGGAGGTTATTGAAAGTTATAGATTAAAGAAAATAATGAACTTTTTTGTGGAGAAAATCTCTTTCTTCCAAAAATTATTTAAAAACATTCCGATTTTTTTAAATTAAAAACAATTTCAATCCGCTACCTAAAAATATTCCAAAAAAATAAAACAGGTTGTAGGCTTGTTCCTTAAAATCCATGAATAAGGTTTCAAAAGCCCCAACCCTGAATTAAAATTGGCTCCTAAAAATATTCCTATAAAAATTCAGGGCTTTTGCTCGAAAATTGATTAGTTCCAAAGGACATTCAAGAATCCTTTAGAAGGAGCTTTTTTCAAAATTTTCTTAGAAATTGTTTTTTTTTTTCGGAAAAATCGAAAAAAAATGCAGAACAAACCTTAAAAAATACTTTTTTGGTCCTGATGGCAGGGCAAAAGGTTAAAGTAAATTCCTCAATATTTTTCTTTAATAATACGCCTTTATAAACCAAAGTACCTTTATAGAGCGTATAATGTTTTCTCAAAGAGTCAAATTTATTTTTAAATAATACCTCCAACACGTAGTGTTGTAGGGTATAAAAAATGTCTGCAAATTTTAAATAAGAAGGTCCTTCGCAATAATATCCAGAATTTCCTCTTAAAATACAATCAACTTTAAAGCCGAAACTCATCTAAACTCTTTTCTAAAAGTCGACTCAAATACATATCCCAGAATCCTTCGAAGTTTCTATGAAATTAAACCCGATTATAGGCACAAAACCCGAAGATCATTCGAAGTTTCTATGAAATGAAAACCGATTATAGGTCTGACGTCCCTTCCGATTTCCTATTTAAAAATTCTAAAAAAAAAATTCTTTGGTTAAACAGGACATTTTCAAATATTCTAAAAAATTATTGGAAATTTCTTCAAATTTTTTTTAATTTGAAATAGTATACCGTACATTCTCCTGACTATAGGGTAACAACTCATTGGTTGAAGAAAATTTTTATATAATTCGCTCTTTATAGAACCATCATTTCTTCATGCTGCTTCTGAAGATGGTGTTCTCTAAAAGAGTGCTCGATTATAGATCAGAGAGCCCTTCCTCTCAAAATGTCTAAAAATTATAGATCAGAAGGTAATTCTCAATAATTTCCGAAATTCATTCTCAAAAATTCCACATAATTATAGATCCAAAGATCCTTCGAGGTTTCCCTCAAATGTCGGTATAGGCCTTATGTTCTCTCTGGTTTTCTTTACAAATATTCCTAAAAAATGATGCAGGGCTTTTTCTTAAATATTCTATGGTTCAAAAGGACCTTTCAAAATCCTCTAGACACAAATTTTCAGGATTCTCGCAAGGAGTGCTCAATTAAGGACAAGAAAGTCCATCCTTTCAAAATGCCTTCAAATTTTATATAAGAAAGTCCTTTTCAGTAAGGCCCAGCCTATTGATCGGAGTGCTTTTACTGTCAGAAAATTCGATTTCCTACTCAAAAGACCACTATGAACAATCAGAATACCCTTTCGAATTTTCCCTCATAATTTCTCAAATGTACAACCTTAGGGATATTTTAATTGTCTGGTAAGAAGTCATAAATTACACGACTCTAGCCACTTAAAATAAATCCAAAAACGTTGATCAGAAGGCCCTTGAAATATCATCTCAAATACATCAGTTTTTAAAAATGTCCTTTCGAGAGTCCTCAAATTTCTATCAAATTTTCCTTTCAAGAGTCCCTTTCATGGATTCAAATGCCACAGATAGAGTGAAATGGTCCAAGATTTCAGTTTTCCTTATATTATTGACAAGAAAATCTCCTGATTATTGACCAGAAATCTCTTCAAAATTTATGGATAATAAATCCTTGATTATTATATAAAACGTCACCCATTACAGGATCTAGAATTTCCCCTCAAAAAACCACCTTTTATAGTTCAGAAGGTCCCTTAAACATCCCCTCAAAAAGTTAACATCTTAAGAATTATAGATCGCTCTTTACGATTCCTCTCAAAGAGCTCTCGATTATATATCAGATAATTTTTCTTTAATTATTCGAAAATCATCCTCAATATAGAGTTAAAATCTACAATCTTCTTCCTGAATATTTTTCTGAAAATATGAGCAGAGAGCCATTTTTCTAAGAACTTCCAGCGGTTTTGGGCCGGTGGGTATTATTTTTGGAACCAAAAGCAAATTTTTTCAACAATCCTTTTTCTAAGAATCTAAAATTTTTATTTTAAAAATCCTCTTTGTAAAGTCTAGGATTTGGTCGAAGAATGGCTTGTCTAAAACACCACTAAAAATGAACAAAAATCTCCATTGAAAAAATGAACCGAGAATCCATTAAAAACCACTTATTTTTGAATAAACCAAATACAAATACAAGCCCTCTGCAATTGGCTATCAAAAGTTCTTCTGTAATGAATCGGAATAATTCCAAAATTTTCTAGTAATATTCTTCGTATTTGCTTTCTGTAATTTCAGGTAAGAAGGGCATTAATTTTTTCCAAAAACATCCAATTTTAGATTGGTAGGGCCTTAATTGAATATTTTTTCAAGGACCAAGAAACGTGGATTTTTTAAAGAATATTTTTTCAAGGACCAAAAAACGTGGATTTTTTAAAGAATATTTTTTCAAGGACCAAGAAACGTGGATTTTTTAAAGAATATTTTTTCAAGGACCAAAAAACGTGGGTTTTTTAAAGAATATTTTTTCAAGGACCAAAAAACGTGGATTTTTTAAAGAATATTTTTTCAAGGACCAAAAAACGTGGATTTTTTAAAGAATATTTTTTCAAGGACCAAGAAACGTGGATTTTTTAAAGAATATTTTATCAAGGACCAAGAAACGTGGATTTTTTAAAGAATATTTTTTCAAGGACCAAAAAACGTGGATTTTTTAAAGAATATTTTTTCAAGGACCAAGAAACGTGGATTTTTTTAAGAATATTTTTTCAAGGACCAAGAAACGTGGATTTTTTTAAGAATATTTTTTCAAGGACCAAGAAACGTGGATTTTTTAAAGAATATTTTTTCAAGGACCAAGAAACGTGGATTTTTTTAAAGAATATTTTTTCAAGGACCAAGAAACGTGGATTTTTTAAAGAATATTTTTTCAAGGACCAAGAAACGTGGATTTTTTAAAGAATATTTTTTCAAGGACCAAGAAACGTGGATTTTTTAAAGAATATTTTTTCAAGGACCAAGAAACGTGGATTTTTGAAAGAATATTTTTTCAAGGACCAAGAAAAGTGGATTTTTTAAAGAATATTTTTTCAAGGACCAAGAAACGTGGATTTTTTAAAGAATATTTTTTCAAGGACCAAGAAACGTGGATTTTTTAAAGAATATTTTTTCAAGGACCAAGAAACGTGGATTTTTTAAAGAATATTTTTTCAAGGACCAAGAAACGTTGATTTTTTAACAAAAATATTTTTTCAAGGACCAAGAAACGTGAATTTTTTTAAGAATATTTTTTCAAGGACCAAGAAGTCAATTGACCTATATTATTTTGAATTGAAAATATATTTGAAAAAATCCCTATAGCCCCTGTAAAAAATTAAAAAATCTTACTATCCCATCCCTGGTTTCTGTCACACAATTACGACTAGTTACATATCCTGGCAGGGTAAAGCAAAACCATCTAAGTGGAAGGAGATTAATAGATAGATTTGCACAAATGGTAATGTACTTAACATGGGATGATGGGAAATAGAGGAGAATTGAGTTAGAGAGATGCGAAAAAAAACCTAAACAGAACTAGAAAATGGCATTGTTTCACATTTGTGGTGAGCCACATGTCCTGCCTTAATTAGTCTATGGGTTATTCTGTAATATTGAAAACGTAGTAAAAAGAAAAAAAATTGAAAACGTTTTCTAAGGGACGTGGTGTGGGTATCGACTCCTTTGAGGTTGGGTCGAACTATTGTGAAAAGGAGTGTTAATATAGAAGGACTTCCTTCCACACACATGGTGTTAGAGTCATATGGAAAGTCACTTTTTCTACTATTATCTATAGAATTTCTATAGAATACTTTTAGGCGCTTTTTAGTATAGTATTAATTTATACACATATACTATATAAATATATAAACTATAGGATTGAGGTAATGCATAGTATATAATATATTGTTGGGAGCCCCTAAAACTATGCTATAAAAATATAAAATTTGAAACTCATCTAAATATGGCTATAACACAGTGTGTAATCGGGTCTCTTGTGTTGGAAAGCATAATTATTAATGTTTTTCTCCACTTTTGCAGGGGTATCATAAGCTATCTTTGTTGGATCTAAGAAACCCCTCTCTTTACTCACCCAACTTCAAACCGGTTTTATTGTCATCCCGCATCGAATGACTTGAAGATGCCTGGGATATGCCACTCGACTCAGTACTGTGCATCATGAGATTGTTGATTTCGGCTTGATTGGCCCTTAGGCGTCGTCTTAACTTTGGCATGTCGAAGGGTAAATCACCCAGGTCCACAGAAGTGGCACTGCCCGAGGTGCAGGCATCCTGAAATAAAAATTCAAAGTAAACTTCCACTTTCCCTCAAATTGTGTTAACATTTTTCACTCACCTGCTGCAGTGTTTTTCTCCTCCTCAGCTTCGGCATATCGAACGGCAAATCCCTTAGATCCTGCGGCAGACCCACACTACTACTCATCCCACCCACGGCACTTATATCACTGTGATTATTGCCACCCTTATCATTGGGTGGAAAATTCAATGTGGGCAGGGTGAATTTCTGCAAACCCATCAAAGGTTTACCATCCTCCCGGGAGTGAAGCGAAATACCGCTATCGGAACCCAAAATTTCATCGGTTAGTTGCATCAACGTCTTGTTGGCCGGTGGTCTTCGTTTCTTGAGGGCATCGATTTGTAGCTGAGGTGTGGGTCGCACGTTTTCTCGGTCTTGTAATTGTTGTTGTTGCTGTTGGGCCTGCTGCTGCTGCTGTTGCTGCTGCTGCGTCAACGTGGCCCCCGCATTATCTTCGGGCGTCACATTCTGCGTCTTATTCTGTTCAGACAACTCTGAGGCCGGCTCCTGCGATGACTTGTCTGATATGGGACTAAGGATATGCAATTTGGAATGGATCACCACAGGCGCTCTCAGGGGAAAAGCCACACTCGAGCTGCCAGATTCAGAGCTATGTGAACTCAACGAGGTCGAGTGCCTTGACTCTGAACTGGATGTGCTACGATTGCCTTCGCTCGTGCTCGAGCGTAACGATTCCATGCTGCCACCACTACTCGATGTGGCTATGCTCTCGGTCGAGGAGTAGTTATGCGTCCTGCGACTGCCATTGCCAGCATGGTGGTGGTGGTGGTGATGGTGGGCGGAGGACGAGGCATGGCTTTTGCGCAGCTCCAGCACCCGCCCCGACTCCAGGACAAAGGAGCGTGGTCGGCTGCGGGACCTAGAGCTGCCGGCATTTAAACTGTTCGGGCCACCCTGGTGCAGTGCGGATGAGAGATGATGGTGGTGGCTGTGACTGTTGTTGTGTTGTTGTTGGTGTTGGTGTACAATGGAAGATGGTGGATTTACATAAGCACTGTCGTTGAGGCTGTTCTCATTGCTGGTGGCCAGCGAGGACACAGTGGCCTGTTGCTGCTGCTGCTGGCGCCCCAGATTCGATTGCAGTGGAAGACGTAGATCGCGCAGACGGGGATGGGCCGGATTCGATGATGGCAGGTTGGGTGCACTTCGTATGCTGTTCATAAAAAAACGCTCATGCTTGCCGGGAAACTTCATGGGCAGTGGCGCTGTGGATGGAGGCGATGGTGTGTAGCCGCGCATGGGCAACTGCGAGCTGGACGTTGTGGGGTTGTTCTGTTGATCCACCTCAGGCTCCCTGATGTGGACGTTGTTTAAGTCTGTGGAGAGGCCGGAAATGTTGGAGGGCAACATCTGGTCTGTGCTCCGGTTCGCCGCAGAGCCCACGGTCAGCGGGGAACCACTGCCGCTGTTGTTGCCACCCGAATTGGAGGCCTGATCTTGGATGGCCTGATTTTTGGAGTTTTTCAAACGCTTGCCATCCAAGCGGCTCTTGTGCGACTTGGACGAGGAGCGTCCTTCAGCCTTGGTGTTCGACGGTGCCACATTGTTGCCATTGTTGAGCTGCAGCAGCACCGAGTGGTTGGTAATGCGATCCACCTCATCCAAGTCATCGTCGGACTTGGCAATCTTGCAGTCGAAAGCGGTTTCGTAAATTTGTCTGGTACGGCCCGACATGTCGTCTTCGAGCGCCGAGTTGACCTCGTCCAAGGCGTTGTCCGATTGGGCCAAACTGCTCGAATCGAGGATGCTGCGTGAGCTGTTGTGATTCAGTTGCTTGGAGTCGGGGGCACAGTCGTCACACTCATGCACGCCATGGGGATGGACATAGAAGATGCTGCGTGGCCGGAAGTACTCGTCTATATCGTCGCCGATAGAGGGAGCAACACAGGCACAAACTGCAGCCGGTCCCAGCAGTCGGTGCGGTGGCATTGACGGTGTCGTTTCCGCAAAGTTGCCGCAGTTCAAATCCTCGTTGGCCTCCTGGCAAATGTTGCCGTAATCGGCAGCAGCCGGTATCAGAGGTTGGACGTTACAGGTCTTGCGTACCAAGGCAAGGGCCCGGGCGTGCCATTCACGGCGTTTCAGGCATTCACTGCAGTCCGATTCCTCCGAGGTGGTGGTGGAGGGCGAGTCGCAGCGTATAATGTGTACTCCGTCCTCGGTGAAGGAGTAACGTTTCGTGGAATCGTCGGCGAGTGGGAGAACGGTGTTGGTGGTGGTTGTCGGTTCGGTTATGTCAAATTCGTCTTCTTGTTCTTCACGTTCCGGTTCCGTGTGTTCAGGTGGCACATCTAGACTGGTGCTTTTGCGATAGGGTTGCCCTGGCTGGGCATAGAGTTGATTGGTTGGTGGCGGTGGTTCGGAGACAGTGGATTGGCGACTTTTCTGTTTGGCCTCCTTGTCGGTTAGTTGCTGGTGTCCGGAGGCCGTGGGATCTTTGGCCTTGAGTAGATCTGAATAGTAATAGGGTGAGGGGTTACGTTTGCTGCCGTACTCCGATTGGGAGGTGGTCAATTTTCGTGGACTGCGATTTGTGGTCGAAGGCAGTGGCTTGACCAGGTCATCAGAAATGCTGTCGGGTGAATTTAAATCAGGAACTTTAACAGATTGATTGTCGTCGTCTTCATCATCCGAGGATTTGGGGGCTGAAGAGTCTGCAAAAGTGAGAGAGGGGGGGAGGAGAGAAAGGGGAGAGGGTTACTGGTTTTCCATGGCAAAATAAAATCGCAAATAAAACTCCATTTCATGCCTGAGTGAATATCACACCAGGACTCAATGCAGGGGAAAATAATTAAATTTCCATGACAGAGGAAGGCAGCCAGCCACCCTGCCAGGCTATGCTGAGCTCGCTGGGAAAATGTAATTTATTTGCTGCAGTTGTTAATGGTTAAGTGAAAGTTGATTAACGTGGCTAAGGAAAACTTTGTTAAAGAGTTTCTAGAGCCATTGAAACTGGGCTCTCCTTCCTTCAACTGGCCTCCAACAAGGTATTATGCAAAGCAGAATTGAAAAAAAAACAACACCCCAAGAGCGCGAGAGAGAGAGGGAGGGAGAGAGAAAAAAAGTTGGCTTAATCCCTGGACCCATGTGCATCGAATTGCCAATTGTTGTTAAGAACTGGACAGACCCGGCCGAGTTAGAAGCCAAAGGTTTGGAGGATTGATGGATGACCAATGAATGGGGAGAGATTGATTGATTCCCCTCAGTCTCTCCCTCTCTTTTTCTCTATTTTTATGGCTTTTTTTTTTGTTACCTTGTTTTTGTTGTTGCATGGATCTGACCCATACTCACCTGAGCTGTAATTGCTGCGTTTATCCTTCTCCTTGCTCTGAGGAGTTGTTAATGTTTGCGGATTATTGCCAGCTGCTGTTGGTGTTTTAGTTAGCGTTTGTTGCAAAGTCTGCGAGGAGGACGAAGGACGTTTAGTTTGAGCCCTACGCTTGGCCTTCTTGTGATAGACTTTTTTGTGGCGTTTCGTATCTTTGGGATCCGAATAGCCTTCGATGAGTTTGACGGATGCCTGTTTAATGGCCGATGTATGGCTGTGTATGGTTGAGGTTAGGCCAGAGGGCAAGGGTGGTGGCAAGGGGGCTCCAGCTGCACTCACAGCTGCCCCAGCTCCAGCCGATGCTGCTACGGCACTGTTAAGGGTAGAATTGTTATTTGTTGTGGCAGTTATTACAACAGCCGACGATGATGAGGCTGACGACGGATGTGGTAAACGTTGCTGTGTCTGGCTACGTTGAGTATGTGACTTTTTCTGATGTTGGTGTTGTTGTTGTTGTTGCTGCTGCTGAAGAGTCTGTGTGGTCTGTGATGCATGCAGCCCCACTGGCTGGTTGGGCAATGTGCTATGGGCCACAGATGCTACAGTATTTGGATCGCCGTTGTTGGCATTTGCCGCCACCAGTTGGGCATTGACTCTGGAGGGTAAAGTCGATAAGGGAGCCGGTGGTGGTGGTACCAGAGGCTCAGTTTGTTGTTGCTGCTGCTGCTGTAGCTCGGCAAAGGTTAGCTGTAATGAAATGAGCGCAAGAAAATAATTAATTTTGGATGGGAAAAAATATTTGAACTAAATAATAATTAAAATTAATTCTTTGGCAAGGACTGGCGGAAAAATTGCCGAGAGCAATATTTTATGTTCTGGATTTTAATAGGATGCCAGGCAAATTATTTTTAGGCAGAGAGACCAAATAAACCAAAAAATATCCAAAAAACCCGTAGTGTGAGGTCACATTACTCAGTGGCAACTTTTGAGGGAAAATCATGCCTTTGGCAACTCATTAACACTGCCTTTTTACAGCGACACACACATAGACAAACTAAACAGCTGCGGAACGTGCTGAAATTATTTTAGCTGCAGTTAGGCCACCACACACACAAGTGGAAGCCATTAAAATCGGTTTTTCCTTTCAATTTACCACAATAATGGAAGGAAGTTTTTATTAAAAAAAAAACACCGAAACCACAGAGAGGCCTAAAGCATAAACAGTTTCCTAGTTCTGCCATAGATATCTCATTAAAACATGGCAGTCATAACTAAATATTTCATATTTTTATGGGAGGGGAGTGGGGAAATAATAGAAAAAATATTAGAATTGACTGGGGGATAGAAAAATCTGTGAGAGTTCTGGAAAAATCTTTATCTGAGCTTGTTTCAAAAAAGTAACTTCGGCAAAAAAATTGTTTAAAAAAATCATGGAGCTTTGAATGCAGAATCCCTTATTCTTATATTTCAAAAAATTCCTGATGAGGAGAAGCAGCTTTTAAAAATCCTTGGATGTCCTTAAGAAACGGTATTTGAAAATCCCTGGAAGTCTAGTCAAAAACTAGTCTTAAAAATCATTGTTTATGGTCTCTTGAATCCTTTAGGAATAGTTTAAAAAATATCCCTGGAAGTCCCTTAAAAACAGATGAAACAATGTATCTGGAGGTCCTTCAGAAATCGCATTTATGCTTGGATGTTCTTAATGAGTTTTTTTGAGTCCATACTCATTGCCTTGCAAGTCCTTTTAAAATAAAATATTGAAGGATTAAGAATCAGAGAGATTTCACAATGTCTCGGGGTCCTTGAAAATATAATTAAAAAAAATTCCTGATGAGGAGAAGCAACTTTTATAAATCCTTGGATGTTCTTAAGAAACGGTATTTGAAAATCCCTGAGGATCTTCCAAAAATAGTTTACAAATCAATGTTAATGGTCTCTTGAATCCTTTAGGAATAGTTTTAAAAATATCCCTGGAAGTCTCTTAAAAACAGATGCAAAAATATATCGGGAAGTCCTTTAGAAATCGCAAGTATCCTTGAATGTTCTTAATGAGTTTTCTTTAACCCATACTCATAACTTTGCAAGTCCTTTTAAAATTAATTTTTGAAAGATCCTTTAACATTCTTCAAAAGTGGTTTTTAGCAAAACCCTGGAAGTCCTTCAAAAATTGTTTTTAATTCAAGTTCATGGAAATCCTTAAGATACACCACACCAAATCCTTGAAATTCCTTCAAAATAGTTTTAAACAATTCTATGAATAATTTTTAAAAAATCTTTAAAACAAAGCCCGCCTTTATGGCCTTAGATGTCCCTAAGAATAATTTTTATAAAATCTTTAAAAAAGTCCACTTAGAAGTCCTTTATAAATTCCTTTTCCACACCCCATATCCAAGGCTCCGAAGGTTTTCCATTTTTTTTTGTTTTTTTTTTTTTTTTTTAAACACTTTTATTCCTTTCTTCGTAAGTTCTTTAGAAGCTTTTTCATAGAAATTCACTTTCATGACTTCGGAAGCCTGTTAGGATTTTTTTGTAGGTGGTTTCTGTTGGCAAGCTGAAGAGACTGAGAATCTCTCTATTGGCAAACCGAAGGCTGAGAGAGTCTCTATAAGGGAGATGAAGGCTCAGGAAGTTTCTATAGACGAGCTGAAGGCTCAGAGTGTCTCTATAAAGGAGCTGAATGCTCAATGAGTCTCTATATGAAGGCTCAGGAAGTCTCTATAGACGAGCAGAAGGCTCTTTAAGGGGCTGAATGACCAGGGAGTCTCTATTAGCTAGCTGAAGGTTCTGATAGTCTTTATAGGCGAGCTCAAGGCTCACAGAGTCTCTATAGATGAGCTAAAGGCGCAGAGAGTCTCCATAGACGAGCTGAAGGCCCAGAGAGTCTCTATAGACAAGCTGGAGGCTCAGAGAGTCTTCATAGCCAAGCTGAAGGCTTAGAGAGAGTCTATATGCGAGCTGATTGCTCATAGAGTCTCTATAGACGAGCTGAAGTCTCAGATAGTCGCAGTAGGCGAGCTGAAGGCTCAGGGAGTCTCTATAGACGAGCTGAAGTCTCAGAGAGTCTCTATAGACGAGCTGAAGGCACAGGGAGTCTCTATAGACGAGCTGAAGGCTCAGAGAGTCTCTATAGACGAGCTGAAGACTCAGAGAGTCTCTATAGACGAGCTGAAGACTCAGAGAGTCTCTATAGAGGAGCTGAAGGCTCAGTGAGTCTCTATAGACGAGCTGAAGGCTCAGTGAGTCTCTATAGACGAGCTGAAGGCTCAGTGAGTCTCTATAGACGAGCTGAAGGCTCAGTAAGTCTCTATAGACGAGCTGAAAGCTCATTGAGTCTCTATAGACGAGCTGAAGGCTCAGTGAGTCTCTATAGACGAGCTGAAGGCTCAGAGAGTCTTTATAGGTAAGCTGGGGGCTCAAGGAGTGTTTATAGGTAAGCTGGGCGCTCAAAGAGTCTCTATAGCCGAGCTGAAGGCTCAGAAAGTATTTATAGGCGAGCTGAAGGCTCAGAGAGTCTCTATAGAGGAGCTGAAGGCTCAGAGAGTCTCTATAGACGAGCTGAGAGCTCAGCACATTTTTTCGACGAGCTGAAGGCTTAGAACGTTTTTTCGATGAGTTGAATTTTTGGAACGTCTTTTAGACATGCTGAAGGCTGCACACGCTTGTTAGACGAGCTGAAGGCTCATTAGGTTTTTTAGACGACCTGAAGGCTCAGCATGTCTTTTAGGCGAGCTCAGCACGCTTTTTGGATGAGTTGGAGGAATAGTACGGCATTTGGACAAGCAGAAGGATTTGATATGTGGCCCAGTTCTTCGAAATATTTTCCTTAAAAAATTAACGTTTATAACAATAGAAGATTATTAAAAATTTGTTTAAAAAAATCAATATTAGCAGCTCGGAATGTCCTTAGGAAAAATTTCTTAAAAAATCCACCCTCATTATCCTGTAAGTTCTTTTGGTTTTCTTTTTAATTTTATACGTGTCTCTGGAATTGATTTCGATATGTGTCGCCAAAAGTCCACATTTTAGGCTTTAGGTGTCCTTATTATATGTTTATAACATTTTCTGAAACGTTGGGCGCCACAAGTTTTTAAGTTAGTACATTCTTACCATTTTTTGGACGTTTTTTTTTTTTAACTCTTTTTTGAAGTGGAACCCTTTTTATTCAGAAACCTTTTATTGATGCTTTTACACCCTTCATGGTGCTAATATTTCATATTTTTTCTTTTCTTTTTTTTTTGAAACATTAACAGTCTTAATCTTATAATAATTATTTATTTCTCCGCAAGGAACTTTTCCACCCATATCCCTCATTGCAAGATTTTTTTTCAATAATTTACAACCCTAAGCCTTGAATATTTGGTGTTCTTCTGGGCTCTACAACCCAAAGACTTAAAATTTACGTGCTCGTATTTTTCTGAGCTCTTAAGTCGCCTTATAATTTCTCAAAATTTCACCAGGCACTCGAATCGACAATAAATATCAGTTTTTAATTACTTGTCACACACGGACACACGTTTTACATGGCATCTTGTCTGCAAGCCGACAAGACGTAATAAGTACGATATCATTGTATTTGTTTAATTTATGACAAGCAGACAAAACATGTAACTCCTGTTTGCACTGCTGCTCTCCTCTCTTCTCCCGTACTCTCGTTCTCTGCTATCCATGTTTTATATTCATATTGAAAATTATTGCAATTAAAATGAAAAATTGTCTGCAAATATAAAGGCATAGACAACAACATATATAAATATCATGTACTGTCGTGTCATTCTACAGCTATCTTCTGTTGTACCTGTCAGTGGGGTGAGAGAGGAGAGTGAGTGGGGAGAAGAGGTGGTATTTGGTATTTAATAAATGTTAAAGTAATATGATGTGCTTCATGTCCTATCCAGTTAACATGTTACGATATTTTTATGTTAACCACAATGTAGACAACTCTTGGAAGAGAGGTAGGAGGCAAGGGGGAATTTAAGGCTTGGAAAGTAATTTAAGTGGGAATATTTTTAGATATTTTTTTTTGAATTTAGAAAAAATGTAGGAACATTTAAATAATGAAAGGAAGAGAGTCTGATTGAAAAAAAAAAAAAAAAAACTTAGAGAGACTCTCAAATTTTTGCTGAGAGAAATAAGTTAGGAGTATAAGAGGCTTGGAACTTAGCAAAGAAGGAATATCTTTGATTTTTTTTTTTCAATTTGGAAAAATCAAATCATAAATTAAAAAGTATCAGCCGGATGTATACCCTACTTGTCGTCCAAGACAATGTTCGATTATTTAAATATATTTTACTTTTGATATGATTACTCAAATCTTTCCCTCTCTCCCTCTATGGAGTAGGTTCCGAAGGAATGGGCCAATATTGTTCGTATCGGACCTAAATAAATATGATATAAATATTGCGACTTGCCAGGTTTGGACTATATTGGTTACTTCCTTCACTTTATACGGGATATGTGATAATTTTTAGAAAAATGTTAAAATGTGGGTGAGGTATCAGATATAGTCGACCGAAGTATTCATACTCCATTTTCATACTCCAGTTAATACAGATAAAAATATTGATATGGGCAAAATTACGAGAAAATCGAACATTTATTTCGAATTTTATGCGAAATTAGAAATTCCATCAATTCATCTCCGGTATCTGGTTGGGAGAAATATTTCGATATAGCCAGTTGTAAAAAATCACTGACTTGTATCGCAAGTTATGACGTATAAAAGCACTGAAAATTGTAACCATTTGTTG